TATGTGAAAATGACTGGCCTTTATTGAAATTCACGTCTGCCCTGTGGCCTTAGGGCGCTCGTAGCAATATGGCGGAGTCGCTAGCATGTCGAGCTTGCATGCTGCACTGTCATGGTTTGACTCCAGTTAGGGTTTTGATAAGACCTAAGTGATATCTAAACTGCAGTCCACCCTGGATGAGAACTTTTTGTAAAGCAAGGCTATGTGGAATTCAATGCTTACCCACTTTTACGTGCCTTGGACATATTGGGTCCTTGGTTGCAACTCTTTATATTCCATAGTCATCAAAGAATAGCATTTTTTGACATCAGACCTGCATTCAGTATATTTCGTTAAAGATAATGGATCTCCTTTTTACATACTTAATCCACTCTTGTGTTGATCTTATCTCTCACTTCGCTTAGCAGGCATGACTATTACCACGTTTTTTTAACTTTATAGAAGTTGGTAGTAATTTGACCTTGTTTTCGCAACTTGATCAATTGACAAGAAGAACTACAGGAGCGCACCTTACCCTGACTCCATAGTATGCATGCTAATCTCCAGAGTTCGACCATAGACTTGGCACATTTCCAGACGTTTCGCCGGCATCAGTGAGTTTTGCCATTCTCCCCAACAAGCAACAATTTATCAGAGACAAGTGAAGTCAATCCCTTGATCAACTCTCTTCGAACTATGTAGAAAAAATTAGTTTCAAAGAATCCCTTAATACATTGATGCTGGACTACCTTTCATTTCGCTTGAAGAGGCTAGTATAAGGTATTCGTAAGTTGGTTCTGCTTGAGGCTGTGGGCGGCGTGCCTACAATCCACACTAGGCTAAAATGAGGAAATTTTAATTGGCTCTGTTAAGTAAAGGGTCAATAATGATGCTGACTAACCTAGCGGTGTACTGTACATATTTTACCTGTAATGATAAACCGTACGAACAAACATGAGGTTAGCAAATAATTACATGGCTCAATTTGAGGAACGCCTTATTCAAGGCGCAGTTTTAGTTCCTAAATTATTAGTTCGATATATGGACGACTACTTTGTTATTTGGCAACATGGCATAGAAAACCTGGTGAATTTTCTTTGTTTGATGAAGAGGATCGATAGGAAGACAAAATTCACCATTGAGTTAGAAAAGAAATGTGGTTTAGCTTTTCTTGATGTCCTAGTTAGCAAAGAGAGGATCAGATTAGGTAGAGGTGTGTATGAGAATCCCACAAATGCAGATCTCCTTTAAAATTTCTTCTCAAACCACACTTATGGAGTTAAAGTAAGTTATTTACACTATGATAATAAAAAGCTTGTGTCTGGCAGATGTTAACATCGGGACCAGGAACTGAGGAGACTGAAAAGAATTCTCGCTGAGAATAATTATCTACGAGGGCTGGTTGACAATTATTGTAGAATATTGTCAAATTGGATAAATAGAAATGCATATTTGGGGCTAGATAAAAAGATAGATCACTCTACCAGAATCCTTATGCTTCCACCGTGTAATCTGTCGAAGACAGGCGAATTACTAAATAGATGAGATATTAGGACTATTTATATAAAAAAATAACAGTGTCCTCGATATTGCCATGTTTTCTTTTCGATAACACTCTGACCTGCTTTCCAGATCGGGCTCTTATAAGATTTTTTGTCCATGTGGTAGTGTCTATGTCAGAGAGACCCATAGGTCCATACCTAAGAGGTAATCCGAATACAAAATAGTCTGCAAGGGTATGTGGGTCCAAAAATCTGAACTAGCTAATACATGGTTCGCACATGACACCAGATAGATTTATCTAATGCCAAACACTTAGCTGGATATGGAGACTACCAGTAAGCGATAGAAATCAACAATGCAGCCAGCACCCTGAATAGAAGGAATGAGTGTAGGAAGTTAAGCGAGAACTACTTGTGGATGTTGGGTAGGATTAGAGGGGGGGAACGAGAAGTACCACCGAGTAGGAGGTGGAGGATTGATTCTCATATCACACTCATTTCAATAGTAATGCACTTACATAACACACATGCAATGGGACGCAATCTAATGCGTTAACATAGCAGGATCAAAGATAAGTGATTTAGAGAAGGATGCAGCTGTTCAGTTTCAATTGCACCTATTTCACGCTTCATCGGTTGCCACTTCACATTTCATCCGCAGCCACCTAATTAATCCGCAAACATATAGGCAAAGCATCCAACTAAATTGGATTACAAGAGCTAACTGGTTTTAAAACCGGTCAAATTTCTTGCCTTCGTGTTTTTGTTGAATTGTCATTAATCATGGTGTGACTTACGATGTCAGTCACATGACGGTCGAAAGCTCAGCAAGGATTAGACTGGGTCGCATGACGGTGCGCCGAGGACCTATTCGTACAAATATGCAACCACCTCCAAGGCAACCCTTCAATAGTCTCCGGTGGAACCAACTTACGAATCCCTTCCATTCGCTTCTTAAAACGAAATGAATGGTACTTCAACATATTTTCCGTCAAAATCGTTGTGCTATCACTCTTCGTTCTGTCCTTATTCCTCTATCCAATTCCTAACCTTTTGTCTCTCCCTTGTCTGATCCTTCTGTATCTTTTTTCCAGCATATACTTTGATGATCCCTGATTCGTATGATGATTTTTCTCTTAGTTTCCCGTCTATATTTCTGTTCGCATGACCCTACCAAGTCCACGGTTCGTCTGGAAATTATCATGCCTACTATGGACTCCGGACAAGCTGCCTTCCTCTAGGTCTTCCTGCCGATATTACCAAGTTGAGAAAACAAGGTCAAACAACTACTATACATCGAAAGGAGATTACGACCAAAATAGAGGCCAATACATCTTGGTTTTCGTATCCATAAAAGTTATATTAAAATTGTAGTACTTCTTTGTACTGCTGTGCCTTAAATTCTTACTACCTCAAATGACTATTATCGAGGCGGATGAGAGCTATTTTCTACTCAATCAATTGATATCTGATTAATTCACCCTATTTCGTTTAAGGTGATGAAGGATTGGTTGTAGAATTTTCCTACAACCATATGGGTAGAGGTGGCGTTTCAATTGAATTTCACATTGCCTTGGTTTCCCAAAAGTTTTTCTTATCCAGGGTTGACTGCAGTTTCGACCTCGCATCGGTCTTATCAACACCCCCAGCGGGAGTCGGACCGTGATAGTGCAGAATGGGAGCTCGACACATTAACCACTCGACCACATTGCCACGAGTGCCTATGGGTCACAGGACAAATGTGAATTTCAAGGAAAGCTATGCCTTTTGCCATATAATATTCTTTGATGGGATTGTATATGAAGCAAACGTATGTTTGTTATAACAATCGACTATTACTTCATCACCTTAAATGAAATTGTGTGAATACTAATCATATTATTGAGTTACTTGTCATCTTGAAACAATTCTTAATGTGAAAAATAAAGATAAGTAGTCGATTGTTATAGCAAAGAATATGATATGGCAAAAGGCCTGGCCTTCCTTGATAATTCACATTTGCCCTGTGACCCAATGGCACATTTTGGCGAGTGGAATGTAAACAAATGAAAAGTTGTGATAAGGCGGGATGTTAATAAGAAGGTAAAGAGTATATAGATAGGCCGGGACAAAAAGAGGAGTGATATCGTAACCGTTTTCGACAGAACGACTTCACTTGTATCTGACGAGTTCGTAGCTTGGTGCGGAGATTATGCCGGCAAAACATTTGAGATTAGACCAAACCCACTGTCTGATGCTGGGAATTATGATAACTACTATGAGAGAGGACTTCGGACTAGGTGAGTTCTACTAAGTCACTCTGACAACGACTAAGTTGCGACATCGAGGTCTACCCATTTATATAAATCGAAAGTAGACTGCGACCATCCTGGGTGCCACACTATCTTGATCTTTATATCTTCTTTAATTATTGGGGGGACTTTCACTTCGTATGAAAGTGCATGAAGAAGAGATCCGTTGGTCGATCTCACCAGAAGAGGACGGATGAATCCCGTTGTACTGCAGCCGTTTGGCTATTATGCGATGTTAAGTTTTACTCTGGAACGAGTGTGGCTGGAAGAAAATTCAGCCGGTTTTCACCTGAAACGAAGGTCTCGCGGACTGCGTAAACCTGAACGTCGTATAGAAGCCAAACGGCTACAGTACAACGGAATTCATCCGTCCTCTTCTGATGAGATCGACCAACGAATCTCTTTTCACGCACTTTCATACGAAATGAAACTGTTATCTCAGGCGATTCATCGAAACCCAGTTTCTCTTCTTTAATTATGCTTGCTTATAAGCTTGAATTAAAGTACATTCATTTTTTTAAATACAAATATCCGTGCATTTCTATTATGCTTAGAGAAATAAGGGATTTATTTTTCTGAAAAATTACTTTATTAAAGTTTTGTTGAATTTAGAGTCTACTTATTTATTGATCTGACCAGAAATAAACTCTCACGACATTATGAAATCAAGATTGATGTTTTAATTTATTGTTCCTTCTCTAAGCCATTG